TCATCTTCATCACCGAATTCGCATTGCGTGTTCGAACATGAACACCGCACTAAATACTCCATGTCTCAACAGTTCAACTTGCACCGAATATTATTTTTTAATCATTTTTATTATTATAAATTTATAAAAAAAATTACTTTTTCTATTATATATATATAATACACACACACACTTGCCATATCATCCACTTTCCCTTCCGTTATTCTTTGTTCTTCTGCTGGGAACGAATTTAAGGAAGAAGGGGAATCCGAATCGCCGTCCCGTTGGTGTCTTGCGCATCAGAAGGGACGCTATCGGTTTCGGGAATCAAATCTCCAAGGTACTGCATCGATCTAATCCCCTCTTTCCTTTTGTTTGTTCGGTTTTGTTTCTTCAAATCTTCACCATTTTCTGTTGTTTTCTTCCGTCTTATCATTCAAATTTCTGGGTTTTCAGCATTACTTTCCGATTTTTCTTCCTGGAATCGATTTTCGCCCCCTTCGATTCCTTGCAAAGTCCTTGTGGCAGATCTGATCAGGCTCTTGGGTATTTCAGACACTGCATGCATGGGGTATGTCTTCTGATTTCATTCATAAATGATGGGGTTAAGCTTCTTTTCATTGTTGGTTTTAATTATAGTGGTACAATTCCGAATTCTATGGATTTTTATGCTTTCCTTGAAAATTGATCAAGTTATCAGGATGGATTAAGGATCCATATACCACCATCCTTCCAATATGAAAATTAGATAAACTTAGCTAGACCTGATTGTTGGCTGGCTAACAAAGATGGGCACTTCATGAAAATGGCCGTTTGTGACTTGTGTTTTGACGCACACGTAGAACAGTTGTATTCGACTTTAGACACACGGGACACTTTTAATTAAAGATTTTAAATTTTGTTCTATATCCATTGGTCTATGTCAGTGTCTATGTTTCCTAGCCGGTTGGGCATCTTGCTCTATCGTACATGGCAAGTTGTTGGGTGGGTCGAACCATTTAAAAAATTGACAGAAGTCAGGCATCCAGCTCATGATCAGCTCCAAACCGCCTCCAACCATTATGATGTTGCGAGTGATTGGATTTTTTTTTTGGATAAGTTTGGTCATCATCTGAGGTTTTAAATCATTTGGTCCTAGTAGGCTTTTATGTTATTATCACTTAGGTGGAAACAAAGTCTGTGCCTGCAGTGTGTAATAAGCTGTTAATGATCATCCTGGTCAAATAATAGTTCTAAAGGATGGGCATATTTGTCTGAGTGCTTGGCTCCCATGCTTAAGGACCACAGTAGGAATATACCCGTGAAGGAGAACATGTTCATGTGTTCGTATTGTTTGCTTGAGAAATAAGTTGTAGACTCTGCATAATTCGGCTGCCCAACACTTTCAATTGATGTGTGTTTAAACCAAATTATTGACTGGTGATTAGATCGTCGTGTCTAAATATATGGTAAACTTTTAGAAAATCCTTTGATTATGTTGTGATTCATAACAGAATTTAATGTTATTGTAACAGAGCAGTGGTTGTGTTGGATGCTATAAGAAGCCCACACTAATTACACTGGAACCTAAAGAAGTTTCAAAACAAGGCCAGGCTGTGAGGAAACGTAGTACGTCCAACGATTTCTGGACCACTAGCACGCATGATATGGACAATAGTGCTGTACAATCACAGGGAAGCATCTCATCAATCAGTGTAACAAATCAAGCCCCAGATCCTCATGGTAGTTCTGGCAAAACAAGCAACTCCACTGAATTTGTAAATCACGGTATTTTCCTATTGCTCATATTTTTCAAGGACATTAAGCATGAAACATCCTTTTCTTCTGTGTGTTTATTGACTTCTTTTCTGACAAGACTGAGCTAACAGAAGATGGTTGCCTGTGCTACTTTGCTCATGCATGTTTATTTGCTTTTTTTTTTTTTTTTGGGGGGGGGGGGAGAGGTTAAGATTATGTCTCTGTAATATAAATACGTTTGGCTGCAGCCAAGTTATTCAAGGTAGGTTGAATGACCTGGTGATTTAAATATAGATTTTCTTGTTTGTTCTAACTTAATCCAGGTGCCTTGGTTGCTTTGATTTAAAAATTGTTTTTTTTTTTCTTGGTTTGGATAGCCTTTTTCCCTAGAGTAGCAGAGTCTTCTAGGTTACTGGCCAGGTTTAGTGGCAATAATTTTATTCCGTCAATTTATCTCGGGTTGGCTGTTTATGTTCCTATATTAAGTTGTAATCCACGAAATTTTGTAAGTGAGGTGGTGCCTTGACTGATTTGCAATTTAACTTGGAAGCTAACTTATAAAACTTAATTAAGCACTGCAAAGTAAAAGCAAGAAAAAAATCACTTTGAATCTGTGGTTGCAGGTCTTATTCTCTGGAATCAGACTAGGCAACAGTGGGTAGGAAATAAAAAAACAAAATTCAGTCACAGCAGCTGCGAGAACCTAAACTAAGGTAACTTGAGTTGTTGGACTAGTTTCACTGGCAGCTTCCCCCCCCCCCCCCCGCCTTGATCTTTAATCATTATGTTTTTGGGAGCTGGGGTGGGGGTGGTGACTTGGTGTATCAACTTGCATCGGTTCATGCTATGATTGATGCTGCTTGAAAAATGAGAAGGAATCAAGTTTAAACTTGCATTGGAATGTCCTCTCAAAACAGTTGAATAGAAATAGATTTTAATTTTGACTGTAAATCTATTCGTCAATGAGTTTTCTTCTTGTCTTAAAACGTTTGCACAAAGTTTATAACAGGGGATCTTGAGGTTTTGTCATTGTGTATAATCTGTTCGATATAAATCAGGAAATAAAAAGGAGAAAGAAAAGAAAGGAAAAGAGGGAATAAATATTCCACCACCTTTCCTTTACGAGCTCATGGCTGAATGATCATGTAGCTTCAAAGTGTTCTCTTGAGAGGAGGAAAAGAGAGAAATGGCTCTTTTAAACTGGAAGCCTTGGCATATAACTATACAATTGATTGCAGCCTTGGTTATAAGGTGTTTAGCACATTTTTGAATGTTAGCACTTTTATGCTCTGGGAATACGCGGCATGATTCAAATGTGGGTAAATAGGATAGAATATGTGGCTTATGAACGATGCTTGTTTCAGTGAATATTTATGGAAATGTGTTTCTTGTATTTTGTCAGCACTTATTGTCTGTCCCTTGGCATATGGCTTTGCAGTTGGGATGCAACATATGAAAGTTTACTTGGGAGCAGCAAACCATTCCATCGGCCTATCCCTCTTCCTGTAAGCATCAAACTTCTGAATTATCATGTGGATCAAGATAAGAGTGTTTATCTGAGTGGCTTGTGGCATGTTGATAATATTGACAGGAAATGGTAGATTTTCTAGTGGACATCTGGGAACAGGAGGGCCTATACGACTGAATCACATGTCTGCTGTTTGATTTTAAATCCCTAAAACAATTAATTTTAGTTGTTGCTTCTATGATGATGATAGGAAGGGGAAGATTGAGCTCACTGCATTTTGTACATCAATTGTAATGTTATCTGTCCCCTGTTATCTTTCAGTGATGAGGAATCTAATCATTTTCTCTTTGCTGCAACTTTGTAAGTGATGCCAATTGGTTGATCTTTAGTGATTAAAAGAGCCAGTTTTGAGGGGTTGAGAAAAACCTTGTTTTTCATGCTAGTAGGTTAGTGTTGCAGTTACTCTCCAAAACAACTTCCAATTTCTTCACTACTTTGGGCCTTTAGGGTCTTTTTTTGGGCCATCTCACTAATTTTGGGTTATTTACTATCACTTCATTAAATGCTTACCAGGGTTTGATATCAACCAATGTTCTGACTGAACTGAGCATTCAACGGATCGGGATGTTAGTTTCATTGAACCAGGGTTGGACAGTTATTGGACCGTAATTAGACCAGTCTCAATTAAAATATATAGTTTTAAAGAATATTAATGAAAAAAAAAATATTTATCCTTTTTTAATAAATCTTTAAATATTTATTCATATCCTTATCTTATTTTATATTTATAATCAATCCCACTAACATTATAATTAACCTTATAATAAAATTATTTATCGTCCATTAAAAACAACCAAATCATCAAATGTATCACATTAATTGATTAATCAAATCAATACAAGCTTTTATTATGAGCTAAAATTACCATCAATCATGATGTACAGACACACACGCAACATTAAATAAAAACCAATCGCAAGATAAATGAAGGCATAAAATAACAGTTTTGGGTCATTGAAATTTTTTTGGATAGCTGTTATTGAATTTTCAAATATCGTAAAATAAGATTTTTTTTTAAAAAAGAAAAATTGAAAACCATTTTTCTAGTACTTTTAGCTGTCCGCTTTTTGGTCGGTTATGGCATTCCCGACACCGGTTCTAGGTCAAGCCGGACGGTTTGATTTTAACAAGCTTGGTCACAATTATTATAAGTTTTTTGGTGATTACAAATTTGGTGTTGTCAAGTAAAATAACGGCCTGTTATAATTTTGGGAGGAAATGATGGTGCAACGCAAGTTGTAAAATTTTACAATCATTTATACTGTAGTCAAATTATGTCCGAGGAAAGCACTATATTTGTCGTATAAAAGTATTATTTTATTTTTAATCATATGGTAAAACATCAAACAATTAATTACTATTGCTAATTACTAATTTTCCTAAAACATGTATTATAAAAAATTAATTAATTATTAATTAATAAGAAGTAAATTTAAAATAAGTAAATTTAATTAATAGAAATTGGATCTAGCAGAAAAAATTAATTCTTTATAACATAATGAATCAATGTTGGAATCTTAAAAAAAAAAAAATGATGTCTTCATTTCGTGTTTAATGGATCATACCTGTGTTCAATAAAAAAAAAATAGTCTAATCCCCTTTGGAACACACTCCTCTGTTCGGCCCATAATGCCTAAGAAGCACCAAGAAGTCTCGGGTGCTCTTATGAAATTCCATAAACATTTGCTTTTTAATGTGACTTTTCCTACAAATCCTAGAACCTCTTGGAGACTTCTCAAAGCATCCATCTCTATTCTCTAACCACGTCTTTATTTAAAGCTGTCTCACTTCATCGCATCATCATCATCCACATCATAACCAACGACAAAACATCTCCTTTCAATTTCCAAGGAAAAAGTCCAATGGCTTTGGCTCGTTTCGCTCTGAAACAACTGCAGCGGAGGGTGGGATCTGCTTCTGCTTCTTCCACTGCGGAAACTAGGCCAGTAATCGGTGCTGCCCAGAACCTCCTAACCAGAAGCTTTTCTACTGAGAAAGCGAAATCTGATCAAACCACGGAGGTGACTGTGTCTGAAGGCAAGAAGCCGAGGTTATTTCCTAGGAGACAACGAAGAAGATGGCCATGGAGGAACGATGACAGAGACTTCCCGCCTGCCCTTAGTGGTACCTTCTCCTCTCTGCACCATTTACTCACAGTATATATTGATGTATCTCGTTAAGTTGACAAGAGATCATAAATTCACAATCTTCTGATGATGATCTTGTTTCAGAGTTCTTCCCATCTGGGCTAGGGAATGCACTGATGCAAGCGACAGAGAACATCAACAGACTATTCGAGAACATGAACATAACACCATGGTCATTGAGTGGGCGTGTGAAGGAGAGAGACGATCACTACAAGCTGAAGTATGAGATGCCAGGGATTCCCAGAGAGAACGTGAAGATCACCATTGATGATGGAGTTCTGAACATAAAGGGAGAGCACAGGGAAGAGAAACAAGAAGAGGAAGAAGACGAGTACTGGGCATCAAGCAACTATGGGTACTACAACACGAGCCTGGTCCTGCCTGATGATGCCAAGACTGATGAAGTCAAAGCTGAGTTGAAAGATGGTGTGCTCACTGTTACGATCCCCAGAACTGAGAAGCCCAAGAAGGATGTGAAGCATGTGTCTGTTCAGTGATGAAGGATTAACTTGAGCTGCTGAATCTTTATTCAGTGTATGAATAACCTGCGTTGTGTTTGCGTCGTGTCGACAGATAACCTGTCTCTTTCTGGTGAAGATGAATCAAAGTTTCTGGTTTATTTCTTATTTTCACCTTAGAAGAGCTCTCTCAGATACAAATTTTTGTCCTTAAAATCTCACGTTTCACTTGTCATAATCCCTCACAACTGCTGGTTGCTTGGTGCTTGTTTTCGTCACCCCTTTCTATCCGTAGTTAGAAATGTTCGGGGAGTGGATTAAGGGCCAGCGGCCCAGCCCAACTATCCAAGTGGTGTTACTGTGACTACATGGGTCACATTTGAATATTGTTGGGGTAATTTTTTTAGAAAAATAATTTTTTTAATTCACGTATGCTCGAATTTGGAATTTTGTACTTGACTATTCATATCCCTCTCATCAACTATCTCATCAGAACTATCTACTATTTGTAGTTTTTTTTTATGTTTTTGTTTTTTCGCAGATTTTTTTTAAAATCAACTATCTCATCAGAACTATCTACTATTTGTAGTTTTTTTTTATGTTTTTGTTTTTTCGCAGATTTTTTTTAAAATTTTGTTTGAAGTACTGTTAAGTGTTAAATATAAATATTTTTTTTCAGTGAAAATTTAAAATTTTGATATGTTATGTTATGAGGGATTACTTTTTTTCTACTAAACGCAATTCTGTTTGTTGGCATGTTTTTGTTACCTCTTCCCCATAGAAGTTGGAAATGCATGGAGCCAAACAAAGTAGGCCAAATGTGGGCCCATTTCCATTTTGCGGGAGCGAAGTGGGCCTGTGGGAGGGCCCAACTAAGGAGAAGGGAAGAGGGGATGAAAAGACGAAAGAGACTGACAAGAAACAGGGATGACGAAATAAAAAAGAAAGGAACAGTAACGTACGGGCGCGAAGGAGACGAGAAAGGGAAACGTCCTATCATCTTCTTTTACTCCTTCCGTGCAGAAATCTACTCTCCTTTCTCTTCCTTCTCAAAACTGGACCCCACCTCTTCAACCTCAATCCTTGTTTTTCAGCCTCCTTTTTCTTTTTTCCTTAATATTCTCGTAGGAGAAGAGAAATTCTTGAATTATTCTTGTACTATTCAATAAAAATATATCATATCAAATAATTATAAATATATATTAATTTTATATGATATAAAAATATAAAATACAAAAAATTAAAGATATATTATATTTTAAAAATAAATTTATTAAAAAAATGTATATAAAATTTTATTTAATTGAATTAATATAATTTTACCATACCAAACGTTAATGACATGATTTAAGAATTTCTAATTTTATGATTAGTGGGCGGAGAGCATAGATAATCTAATATAAAAATTAAACATAAATAACTCTTTCAATAAAGGTCTAAATCTTGCTAGAAGGTAATCTCTTATATATGTGAGATTTCCTTAATTAATTTTAGTGATCTTCTTTATGTATATTTCCTCCTTCAGTGTTTCAAATAATTTTCACAGAAAATTTTTTAAATTGTTTTACCCAGTTAAAAACATTTCAATATTTTAGTTATATTCTCATTAATTAAAAAAATTCAAAATATCTTATCGAAATTACAAAAATTTATTAAAATTATGAAAATCAAATCAAAATTTGTAGTTTGAATTAATTTTTATTTTAAAAAGACTCTTCATATAAAGAACTGGATCCATGAGTGAAATATATGATAAATATTTTATTTTTTTTTATCATTATTCATAGTTTATTTATGTAAAAGCTTGTATTTTGTTGCCAAACTCCGTGGATTGGAAGTGTTTTTTTTATTGAAAAATAATAACATGTCTGAAACTTGATCGAAAGATCAAATCATGGCTTACTTCCAGGAATTCACTTCTCAAACATTATTGCTATTATTTGAATATATTTCCAGATTCTTTCCCGCTGTTCTTTTATCATTAAACCAGTTTCTCATAAACTAAAAAAATTAATACATGAGGTTTTGTTTTTGATCTTAAAAATTAATGCATCACCAGTTTATAATTTCACTCGTAGACAAGAGATTATTTAACATAAAAACATATGAAAATGACGAAACTCTTCCATTCTTATCTCATTAGCAAACTTTAAGAACAGGCTTCACATGAAAGAAACTCTCATTTATATCATATGCTAATTTGAGGTTAAGAAGAAATATGACATTTATTTTAACTAGAAAGGAGTTGTACTTAATTCATTTGAGGTCTCAAATTTGAGTTTGGAAAATACGATAGCATTCAAGGTGTGCTATTCATTTAAAAAAAATCATGTTTCGACTTAATCCAAATTAATTTGAACTTTCGTTAAAATCCTTTCATCAATTGTGTGGGACTGGTGTAAAATATGTGGGCCTTGTGTGCAAAAAAAACACACACACACACACATCATATGTAGTGCTGCAGAAATACCAGATTGGATCAAGTTGGATGCCAACTAGAAGTTTAGTTTGAATGGAGATCAGGCTAGAATTTTCAGTTCAAGGACTAGTCTAGTCTTGTTGGACCCGAGACTTGGACCGAGTTGGACTTGGTCCACTGCGTTACTGGACCAATCTAATTTCTTGAATTCAACTCTCTCCAAAAAGTAAAAGGCCCTTGTATCCCCTTTCCTATTCACTTGCATCAATATCATATGCTTACTACCGATTGAGTTTTAAAGTGAGCACTATTTAATTGCATATGGTCCTTGTTATGAGATTAATTATGTTTCTTTCAGTTTTTTAGAGTATAAATAATCATATTTCTCGCATATTATATGAAGTATGAAAAAGGTGTCATACTATTCAATACCTGAAAATATTATTGCCGCTTTTTTTTATTCTTGCAAGTATCGAAGAGCTAGTTAGAGATTTGTTTTAATTATAAATGTAAGATTTTCATTTTTTTGTCTCCTGTATTTTATTTTTGTTTAAATTACCCTATAATCATATTTTCATGTGATATGGAGAAATGGAGAAATGACAAATGAGGCTATCAGACTTTAGAGTTTAGAGATCGAGTCTGAGGCATACACGTGAGGCATGAGGGTACTGTTACTGAGCTCAGTTAAGTAAGATTTTTTTTGTAAATAATATAATTATTTAATATTTAATATTAAAAAAATAACCTAGATCGGGTCAGACTAATTGGTCCAAAAGAGCAGTCTCTAGTCTGGTCTAACCTGTATGTGCAGTCTGACCCGTTCAATCAGTCTTTTATTTGGGTTGAATTTTTTAGGATCGGATCGGATTGGGTCACACTGAGTCAGACCAAACAGATTTTTGCACCGCGCTAATCATATGCTAGTTGGAAAGAGACTTAAATATCAGATTTTGGTCATCATAAAGTCATGATAATGAAGCTTTCATCTCATGCATCCCTATCAAATGACAGAGGCAAAATTACTGACTGAAAAGAAACTTTATGACTCACCTGAAAATCTCTTAAACCACAAAACAGGGCCCCGTCTCAGGAGGCCTCTCACACAACACAATGCACACACATGGATTCTTCTTCTTGAGGGTCAACCCAACAATTTGGCTGATCAGGGAACAAGTAAATACAAACGCAAGAGGGTAATTTGGTACACCCAATGTTCATTTTCTTCACTGTCTTCACTGTTCCATTTCCCCAGTTCACCATTTCCCCAAAAACACTTCACTTTTGATTGGTGAGTGAAGCCCATGGAATCTGCTCTCTGTCTCTCCTCCAGGAAACATCACTCTCTACTTAACACTTCTTTTGCACTCTCACCCATCACTCTTCAAACCTCAGTTCATACCTCAAACAAACAAGCTAAGCCCTCCTTTCACTACTGTTTCCTCCTCCCTTTTTCATCACTTCTCATCTTATTATTGCCTTTACTTCACTGTGACTTACATCACTTTCCCATGGCTTCACCTTGTAGCAGTAGCAGATCTAGAACCTGCCTTCTTCATGGAATCCAAGTTTCAATCACTGTGGCTTTCATCTTTTCCCTCACACTTCTACTTCTTCTACCTGCCAAATCAGGTAAAAGTTACATCTATCTGAATCAGTTACTTCTGGTCTTGGCCTTTTCATTTCTGTGCCGTCTCAAATAATCTAATCTAAGCCTCATGGTTCTTGTTCCTTCATTTCTGTCACTGTTGAGGTGGATCAGGGTTGTTGCAGGGCACAGAGAGAGATGTAGAGGAAAGTAGTAAGGTGATAGGGTCTAAGCCACCTAGTTGTGTGAATAAATGCATGAAGTGTAGGCCGTGCTTGGCTACACTGGTGGCTCCTGATCACCAGAGGAAGAAGGAGGAGGGTTTCAAAGTGTCGTCTCGTGGGGAAGATGATGATACCTACTATTTACTTTCATGGAAATGTAGCTGTGGGAATAAGCTGTTTCATCCTTGATTCAATCATCTCTGTCTCTCTCTCTCTGTCTCTCTCTCTCGTTAACATTAATTCTCATTTACAGAACTAGAGAAAGCAGAGTGGACGCTTAGTGTAGTTGGAGTTTCTGGCATTTTTCAGCAGTAAATACAGAGAGGCCTTAATGTTATTAGTTAATATATATCAATGTTGTTAACTTTAACAAGACACTGTTCTTTATTTTTCTTTCTCGTTGTTGCAATCTCGCCGACATAAATAGAAGATTATCAATTACTTGTTTTGGAATGATATCGTTGATGTGAATTATTTGAAAATGAAAATAGAAAATAACCCCCCCCAGTTATCTTGACCTTGTCATGAAACAGAATAAAAACGTTTTCCGTGGTATTGTATTAACAAAAAAAAAACGCTTTTTTTAATTATTGTTAAATTAACATAGTTTCAAAAAAAATCATGCCTGATAAGAAGTTGATACGTTTTAATTATATTATTATAATGATTAAAATTAAAACTACTATTGTTGCATGAACTGGAAATACCTCCATGAATATTTTTCTTGAGCGACTTTTATCCACATTCTTATGTGTTACATAGACTAAATTGAATTCATGTTTTGATAGCTGAATTTGAATTTAGATTTATGATAAGTGCATATTTTATAATTAAATAGGTATATATTTTAGTTTAGATTTGATTATATTTATTAAGATTTTATATTTATTTAATTAATATTTATATATTTTTCCTTCATCAGTTAATTATAAGATAAAGAAGAAATTCTCTACAAATTCTATTCATATATCTTCTTTCATTTTTGTATACAGGGAATATTACAAAAGATATTGAAGGATAGAGGAAAATCATATAAAGAAAAAATATATTGAAGAGGCACACATAAGAGGGAGCATGAGAATTATTTTAAAAAGAAGATAATAGTTTAAATGACATCAAATTTAAAATGATATTATGAAATTTTAAAAAGATCAGAAAATATTAATAGCAAAATATTATAAATAAAAGCTCATAATCTTATTCAAAGATATTTAAATTTTTATTTGAATATATCAAGAATTTCTTTTAAAATGTTTGGAATTCATAGAAGTAGTTTAAAAGCTGAAAATGAGATCATTAAAAAAAATTTATAAATCATAATCATTTTTTACTTTTTAATTTTCTCTATGATTATTTTTTAAAATTATAGATTTTAAAATAGTATTATTTAATTTTAGAGTTAAAATTTAAATTTATCCTCATATTTTTTTTTTATAAAAGTGTTGGGCATTTTAAACTTTTAATTAGGACAATGGTTTTTTTGAAGTATTTTTTTCAAGTTTAAAAATGTAATCTGCTAATGTGACAACTCATGGGGTCTACGTGTGGTTCTGACTTGGTTTTAAAGCTGGATAGTCTGACTCTTTTGACCTGCCACTAGGAAGACACTGTCGATGTCACAGCATACAATGCCACACACACACACACACACAGTCACAGACAATGGAGGTTAGAGGCTTGGATGACGAGGTCGACAACAATAAGTAAAAGCAAAGAGTGAATTGAGGAGACAGAGGAAGACCAAGAAAGATAATACTGGAACTTAAAGGAGCGGTGGAGTTTGGATTTTCCACCTAAAAGCTGAGACCAGGGAACCATCGTAGCAGAACTAGTGAATGAATGAAGGGAACTAGAGAGGTGGACCAGTGATGTGGATGACTGAAGCAGTGAACAAGTGACTGTGTGATGCCAAGACAATAACTTGATGAGCATAGACCAGGTCGAGGAAAGAAAGGAGACGAGGTCAAAGATTTTAGAGCCATTGAGGTCACAGTCACAGACACAGACACCGGAATCTTCATCAGAGGAAAAGAGAATGGAAGTTGCCGCGGCACAAACACTGAGCCGTAAGCACGAGATGAGGTCACATACTCACACTCAAGCAACGATAGCGAGATGCACCAGCTACAAGGAAGATGCCGTCAAGGTCACAATACATAGTGCCACACACACATAGAGTCATGGACGATGAAGGCCGGAGGCTCAAAGGATGAGGTCGACAACGATGAGTGAAGCGAAGAATGAATTGAGGAGGCAAAAGAAGACTGCGAAAGACAGGACTAGAACTAGAGAGGAGTGGTGGAGTCTAAACCCTTCTTCTACTGCTTTCTGTTAACAACGAGGAAGATTCAGCCATTCTCGAGACCTTAAGTGATTGCCGCTGCAACTTGAGGGGGAAGCAAGGCAAGGAAGACCATGAAGTAACGGTGATGACGATAAAGAAGAGAGAGGCATGTATATGGTCAAAAGAGTCAAACTAGCCAGATTTGAAGCCAACTGAGAACCCCACGTGGGCCCCATGAGTTACTAGATAACAGCGGATTTCACTCCTAGGTAATGGAAGGACATTTTTTACCTTAAATAATACTTTAAAAAAATCACTTTATTTAAGAGTATAGAGTATTCAATATTTCTATAAAAAAAGTACAATGACAAATTTAAACATTAATTTTTAATTTTATTATATATTTTTAAATTATTCATTTTTAATAGAAATGTAGCTCAATTAAAAAACTAGTTTTTTATTTATTTTGTTTTGACTCTTTGCTTATATATATATATATATTTTTTTTTCAATTATATTTATATTTCTTGTTTTTTATGTTGATTTAATGGTTGGCCAACATTTAATCAAATTTGTAAGTAATTTTGATAAACTAGGAGGTGAAGAAAAAACCTAAATCTTGAGAAATAGACATCAATAAATATGATAGGGATAATTTTAAAAATTTATGGTGACTTAAACTATAACTTTACAGTTTAATTAGTTGTTTAGGTATCGTAGGAATGAATTTAATACTAATTTAAAAGTGAATAATAATTTAAAAGAATATTAGGACACTTTAAAAATATTTATCACTATAATTGATTACATAGTCAATTCAAAAGATAGAAACTAGCAATCTATAAGATGAATTTTAAACTCCAATGCTTCAAGTGATTGTATTTTCATCATTATTATTTTCTTGATTTATTCTTGTTATTTATATTCTTATCAAATAATTTGTTTTATGTTTTTTCTTAAACTATTAATTATTTAAATTAATAAAAGCATAACTTTCTGTGGGTTCGACACCTACAATATTTAAGGTAATTTATTACTGTGATCTTGTACACTTGCAAAAATGTTCAATTTAAAATTTTGTATTTACTATTCATATATTTAAAATTATTTACTTGGGTAATATGAACAAGAATTAATGGTCAATTTTTTCATTTAACTTTACTCAAAAAGTCACTAAAAATTCTAAACTCAACTATGGGTCAATTTTATTTGTCAACTTTAAATATTCCCTCATTCCTCATCTTATCATTTTCTCATTGTTAGTTCACCATTAGTTAGCCCTGCATTATATTTTTAATTTTTTTATGATAAAATATTTAAGTTGAGGGTGCCTAGACATTTTGAATAAAAGTTGAAGAGTAAAAATAACCTTTAACTAGATAAAAAAATATTAAAAAAATAGTATGACCCATTAATAACTAGTGGATATTAAGTGTTTTTTTGCATTAGGGTAATGAAAGAGGAAATCTTTAATCTTAAGGAACAAAATTGACTTATAGTTGAATTTAGGGTCTCTGACAACTCTTCAAGAAAAATTGAGGAGTAAAAAAAAAAACCCTTAACCCTATAAAAAATAAATCTATGGGTTGTCGTACTTACGTGATATGTCTTTAGGTAGTGTAGCATATAATTGTTGGGATTTGAAATAATTAAGATAGAGTAAGTATTTAAAATTCTAAAAAAATGTAAAAGAATATTTTTAAATATAAACTTTTATGTTTTCAAATAATGGATTTAGTTTAAAGTACAAATTTAAATGGGAGAATTTCAATTAAGGATTATGTGATTTAATTATTAGCAGGTATCAAAACAATTTGAAACTTTAGTTCAATCTCAGAGGATTGAAGTGAAAATAATTTCAGTAAGGAAAAGATTAAAGTACCTTTCACTTATTTATTTTATCTGAGATTCAAAATTATTAGTTATTAATTTTCTTAATTTACTAATATGAGTTGTAAATTATATCAGTTTGTCAGACAAGCAACAAGTCAGTAATTTATAATTTGATAATAGTAAATTAACAAGTAAAGTTAGTAAATTAACAACTGATTTTGCTACTTGTAGTTGAATAATTAATGTTCAACTCATGTATAAATATTAATAAGTTAAATTATGTAATTTAAAACTCACATTGATAAATTAATAAGTAAAATAAAAAAATTAATAATTAATAATTTTGTATTTCAAATAAAATTAATAAGTTAAGAGTATTTTAATTTTTTTATTATAATTTTTTTTTTGTGCAAGTGGAGCATATGTCAAACATAAAGTCCTTAGGATCATACCAGAAATGGGCAATTATCCCAACCCGAAGAGAGGACAATAATGGGTCAATCGGACCTATTCGGGTTGACAGTTAACCAACAAATACCTAAAGAAACTGTAACGCAAGTGAGCCGTATGCAAATTTGCTTCAATCGTTTGCTCTTCAAATGGCTCTGCTAGCCTCCACCTCCACCACCACATCCAGTCTCCCTCTCTACTTTATCTCCTTCTACGCTTTTTCTAATTCCTCCAATTCTTCCTCCTTCCCATTCCCTTCTCGTCCTCTGTTTCGACCTCTTTCTTGTCATTCCAGCGTCGGTTGTCCCGGCCGGTGTCACGCCGCCAGCCTCGGCCCTCCTCCTCCCCCCCGAACCGACCCACCTCCCGGAAATGATCCTCGTCAGCTTCAAGGTTAGGAATATCGCGCCTTTTTTTAAATTTCAATATCAGTTTTAGGTGTTTAATTGCATTGATTTGCATTTTTTTTTTTTGGGTAGTTTTCAAGTTCTGGCTTTCAATTAATGTGGTATGAAGTGTACGACCGTGGTTTTAGGTTATTCGAAATTTTGCGATTATTTTGTGATTGGAATTTGCTTTCGGTTCAAACTGAAAGAGATAAGGCGATGTTTTAGGTCCATTAGTTAATTTGAACACTTTGGGAAAATTTGTCTTCTTTAAATGGAGATACAGTAATTGAGGTTTTTAAGACTTAAGTTATCTCTTTTGGAGGTGTGATTTGACTCGGTCAGTATGATGTGTTCAAGTAAAAGATTTCTATCTCCTTCTGATTTTTCTAAATGACTTTGGTGGAGAAACTTTCCTCTTTAAGCGTATGGGAAATTGAGATGACTGGTAATTTATTTGACTTTTTTCATGGTGTTTGCTCCTTTTTATGAATTCCTTGTTCAGAACAATGGAGACAACCGCTTTGTCACTATTCATTTCGGAGATTACAAGAGCACTTAAATAGTTGTTAGAATTTGAAACTAGCACGCAATTTCCATAATTACAATCTAACTATATCAGGTTATAACCAGGTTTATCCGAAGACTGCATTTAATTTTCTTCCTTTGATGTAACTTCAGAATTTTCTGTCATACTTGCCAATTGCTTGGTTTCTTTTCTTCAGATATCAGGTTTAATAGTTGAGCATACGGTAGGTCAGATGTTGGCTATAAGATATTTGTTATATATGAAACTTTGGTTCAAAAAGAGATGGTAAAATTATTTAATTAAATCAAATCTGGTGATACCTTGCAGTTTTAACGGCGAACACCTGTTCTTTATTATATTAAAATGCAAGAATTATTGACACAAAATCACTTTTATTCCCCCCTGTAAAATTTGTTTGAAATGAACTTTTGTTTGGTGTTCATTGAGTTATATTATATGTAGACTTAATTTCATATCACTTATATAAGGTATGTCTGTTTTGGCAACTGCAAAATGTGTATTTGTTCTTAAGGTGTTTTGGTGTTTCTTCCATCACATGATGAGCTTTTTGATGCGTCACTCTGTGAATAAATCATGCATTGCTGGATTTGCCTTGCCTTGCCTTGCAACGTTTCATACATGTTAATAGTGTCAGTAGTGTTTTTGTATGTTCTGTAATATTTGAGTTTATCAGGTATCATATGTCCAACTTCAATTACTCATGATTTGCTTGTTTCTTCTTCTATAGCTAGGTGAAGCTTGCAGTACTAACAGTATTCCTTTGTTTTTTTTTTTTTAAAGAAGCAGGCATGGCTACATCTTGGTCCAAAATTAAAGATAGAGTACAGATCTTCTTTGCTGTTCTTTTCTGGATGTCTTTATTCTTTTGGTCGTCAGCATGGGATGGGAGGAATGGACCAAAGAAAGGATCAAGACGTAGAAGATAACATGCCGAGCATTTCACTTGTATATACATAGCAAACTATAGCTTAGGGGATAGAATCAGAATATACAGTGATGGAAAAGAGCATTTAAATGGGTGGAGAAAAGAATGTTCCTGATCCTGAGGCTCCATTATTTCTTTGCTTGAAAGCTTTTTCATGCTTTAGCTGATCCAGTTTCTTTCTGAATTGGCCAGTTGTGTAACAGACAGGGCGATTCTTTAACTAGCGTTCAAATGAATTTGAGCTTCCAGAATCAGGGCTGTATTTTAGGGTCACCCACGTTGAGAGATCTTGGGAATCATCGGTTAATCTCTAATGTCCTTGCTTTTTGGAACGGTAAAACATGTCTGCAGATCCTTATAGTTTTCATCAATTTTTAATCTGGTCCTTGTAGTTTTATTTGTTAGAATTGAACCGTTATACTTTCACCCGTTTAACACATTAATCCTTCCCATCACTACACTGCTAATATGTTTTAACACCGTCAAGTCAAGGTTCTTAGTCTGACCCATCAACATCTTCCATGGTGGCAGCCCCGGCAACAACCATTTCTGCATCTTCACCTATGAAACGACGTTGCTTGTTTGCTTTCTGAAATTTCTTCCATCCCCATTGCACCATTGACTTCAGCTACACGTATCGAGAGAATTACCAGCTAAGCGTTGCCGTTTTCACTTTCTTTCCTATTTTATTCTATTTCCTTAAAATTTCTACAGGGTGTTCTTTACAGTTTCTCTACCATTAAAATTCTGCCAAGGTACCTAATTTGCACGATGCCTTCTACAGTTGCAGTCATGAAACAAGAAAAGTGAACAATGTCCTTTTTTGGTTAACAAATTGGGAAAGAAAACAATGAAAAAACTTGTTTTTTTGGACATGGGCTCTTTTTAACATATCGTCGAGACGTCGGGGGATTTCCGAAGGTAGAAGAAGAAGTAGTAGTAAGCGACAATGGCGTCAGACTCTGAGGATTCGTATAGTAATAACAGCAGCCATGACCAACAGAAGTTTGGCAAGCTTAGATTCAAAGCTTCACTCTATCAACGCCTCCTCTGACTTCAATGAATTACAAAATGGCCAAGAGAAGAAAGGAAATTCCCCACTAGAGCCGGTAATTCGGGCCGAGCCTGACGGGCTAGCCCGAATTAGCCCGATAAATTTTAGGGCCGGGCTTTAAAAAAGAGATGTTTTTTTATGTTCGGGCCTATTCGGGCCAAGCCCGAACCCTAATCGGGCTTGGCCCGAATACCCGAATAATTTTTTTATTTCTCCGCCTATGTTTATAGCCGGTCCCAAGCTCGGGTAAAGGAGGAGGGTTGTGTTAGGCCATCAACAGCCAATGTAAAAATTTGTTGAATCTATCATGAACATGGACAATAGACGTTATAATGTTAATGCTAGGTCGTTGCCCGTAAGTAACGCGCTGCATGGCTCGAGTACAGTGATAAGTGAGTTAGAGCCGCTGCATCGGCGCCCGGATGTAGTGTTAAATGAGCAAGGGCTACCGCGTCATTCTGGACGCACGCGGCTAAAGAAGTTAGTCCATAAGAGCAAAATTAGATTTGGTACTTGGAATGTTGGGACATTAAATTGTAAATCTGTAGAGGTTGTAGGGGTTATGATTCAAAGGAAAATCAATATCCTTTGCTTGCAAGAAACAAAATGGCGTGGAGAAGAAGCTAAGGATATTCAAGGTTTCAAACTTTGGTATACAGGAAAAGTAAGTGCACGCAATGGAGTAGGCATCATTATAGATAAGGAGTGGAAGAAGAACGTTGTAGAAGTTAGCAGAATTGGAGACAGAATTATTTCTTTAAAAATGATAATTGGACGTGAGACTGTTAATATTGTTAGCGCTTATGCGCCGCAAGTCGGGACAGAAGCCAGTCTTAAGGAATTATTTTGGGAGGATCTGGAGGGGTTGATTCGACACATACCACAGAGTGAAAAGATTTTTATTGGAGGAGACTTTAATGGGCATGTCGGGAGGGAAGCTGGTCAGTATGCGAGGGTGCATGGTGGTTTTGGTTTTGGAGAGCTAAACAATGAAGGGCAAACTCTTCTTGATTTCTCATTGGCGTATGATTTTAAGATTGCCAACACTTGTTTCAAGAAGAGAGATGAGCATCTCATCACCTACAAAAGTGGAGCCTCAAGGTCGCAGATTGATTTTCTTTTGGTTAGGAACACAGATAGAAAACTTTGTAAAAATTGTAAGGTGATCCCTGGAGATGCTGTAACGACACAACATAGGGTCCTAGTCCTTGATGTGTGTATTATGAGTAAAATCCAAAAACGTCGACAAGTAGTAACACCAAGGATTAGGTGGTGGCAATTAAAAGGTGAGAAGCAAGATATTTTCAAGCGAAATCTTTTGGATAAAGGAATTTGGGATTCTCAGGGAAGTGCTAACATCATATGGGAGGATATGGCTAAAAAGATACGGGAGGTTGCAAAAGTAGTTTTGGGAGAATCGAAAGGTCCTGGTCCGAGAGATAAGGAGTCTTGGTGGTGGAATAATAGTGTACAGGACAAAATCAAGTATAAGAAGAACTGTTTTAAAGCCATACATTTGTGTAACAATGAGGAAAATTGGGAGAGGTACCGTATGGCTAAGAAGGAAACTAAGAGAGCTGTGGGTGAAGCTCGTTCTAAAGCTTTTGAAGAATTTTATAAGAACCTTGAGACGAAGGAAGGAGAGCAAAATATTTATAAGATTGCCAAGAGTAGGGAAAGAAAATCAAGAGATCTAGAACAGGTAAGGTGTATTAAGGATGAAGAGGGAAGAATTTTAGTTACAGATGATGAAATTAAAAATAGATGGGAGACTTATTTTTCTAAACTTTTCAATGATGGAGAGGATTCATCTAGTAACTTGGAGGATTTAGTAACTGGTGAAGGAGAACAAAATTTGTCATTCTATCGAAAAATACGTGATAAGGAGGTAAAGGAAGCTCTTAAGAAAATGGCAAATGGTAGAGCTAACGGACCTGATTGTATATCTATCGAAGCGTGGAAATGTTTAGGTGAAGAAGGGGTGAGATGGTTAACTAAGTTATTTAATGTGATTTTACGGTCCAAGAAAATGCCTGATGAGTGGAGGAGAAGTACATTAATTCCTATTTATAAAAATAAAGGAGATATTCAGAATTGTACTAACTATAGAGGGATTAAACTCATGAGCCACACAATGAAATTGTGGGAGAAAGTAATTGAGCACAGGTTGAGATTGGAGACAAGTATTTCTGAGAATCAATTTGGTTTTATGCCAGGTAGATCAACTACAGAGGCGATTTATCTACTAAGGGGATTAATGGAAAAGTATCGTTGTAAAATAAAGATCTACACATGGTTTTTATTGATTTGGAAAAAGCTTATGACCGTATACCAAGAGAAGTGCTTTGGAAAGCGTTGGAAAAAAAGGGAGTACGGATTGCTTATATTAAAGCCATACAAGATATGTATGAGGGGGTAAAAACTAGTATAAGAACGCCTAGTGGTCAAACAAAGGATTTTCCTATAAAGATTGGGCTACATCAGGGATCATCTCTGAGTCCTTATTTGTTCAACTTGATTTTAAATGTTTTGACGGAACATATTCAAGAGGAAATCCCGAAATGTATGCTCTTCGCGGATGATATAGTTCTTATAGCAGAGACAAGAGAAGAGGTTAATTGCAAACTTGAGTTATGGAGGAGGACATTGGAGTCGAAAGGTTTTCGTCTGAGTAGAAGTAAGACGGAATATTTATATTGTAAATTTGATAAAGGACTATTCGAAAATAATTTGGAAGTGAAATTGGGAGATCAAATTATACCTCAAGTGGAAAAGTTTAGATATTTGGGAGCCATTATCCAAAATGATGGCGAAATCAGTGGAGATATTTCACATAGAATTCAAGCTGGGTGGTTTAATTGGAGAAAAGCTAAAGGAGTTATTTGTGACCGTAAGGTGCCTAATAAACTTAAAGGAAAGTTTTATCGTACTGCTATCAGACCGGCAATGTTATATAGTAGTGAATGTTGGGCTCTAACGGGACAGCAAGAGCATAAAGTTGGAGTAGCAGAGATGAGAATGTTACGATGGATGTGCGGACATACACGTAAAGATAAAATTCGAAATGAGCACATACGTGAAAAAGTGAGGGTGGCACCTATTGAGGAAAAAATGGTAGAAAATCGGTTGAGATGGTTTGGGCATGTACAAAGAAGACCAAGGGAGGCACCAGTGAGAAGAGTGGAACATATAACTTTGAGTCCGATTAAGAGAGGTAGAGGAAGGCCTAAGAGAACACTCTTGGAAGTTGTTGAACGTGATCTCTTAATTAATAATATTTCTAAAAGCTTAATAAATGATAGAGCACAATGGCGTCTTGCAATCCATGTAGCCGACCCCACCTAGTGGGATAAAGGCTTGTTGTTGTTGTTGTTGTTGTTTTTTAAAAATATATATATAAATAAATATTAATTAATTCTTTAATTTTTAGGTTATTTTATACTAAAATATCATATATTTGAGTCCTAAACATCATTTAAGTATTAAAAATGTATATTTTATATTTTTTTATAAAATAAAATAATTAATTTTAAAGTAAAAAAATTAATTAAAAATAATTTTAAAAATAAAATTCGGGTATTCGGGCCGCTCGAAGCCCGAAGGAATTCGGGCCGGGCTTAGTCATTCGGGCTTTTTAAAAAACGGGCCTGTTCGGGTTCGGGCCTATTCGGGCCGGGCTTATTCAGGCCGAGCTCGAATAGGTCCGGCCCGCCCGAATTCCCAACTCTATTCCCCACAGATGGTTGGCGAGGACGTAAATGGGGTTCTTGCCGGAACTGCTACCAGAGACACTGATGGGTCAGAACCATACTTAGAGTGTGTTTAAATTAAACAATTTACAATTGAAGTTAACATCCAATTGAAGTTAGTAAATTGAAATTAAAAAAAAATGACGTGATTTATATTTAGATATTTTTTAAAAAAAAATTAGTTGAACAAATTAAAATTTATTTGAATGATTTAATTTATAAGTTAGTTGAAATGAATAATAACATAAATAAATATGAGTTTTGTTATATAATTTAATATTTTTAAGAAAAAATTATTAAGTTTAAAATTACAATTTTTAAAAATTAAATTACAAATACAAAATACATTAATAAGTCAAATATCTTAATTTTTAAAAAGCTAAAATTAAACAATAAAATTTGAAATATTCAAAAGAGCTAAAATAAATTCATAAATTATAAAATATTCAATTTATATAATCTACAATTTAATTTTAGTATACAAATCTTATTTCATTTTAATCTTATTATATTTTTCCCCTCTATTTAATGTTTCACAAATAAAGTTATATTAAATGGAGTGTATTTTAATTAAATAATGAAACAAGATTTTAATTGTTTTTCTTCCTTTACTTTGTCTTAGTTTATAAATTATAATTAAATATTAAGTAATAAAACACAGTACAATCATCTTCTTCCTCCTCAAAGTTGAGTGCCATGCATATACACTCAAAAATATACATAGTATCACAGTGAGCACCTTCTTCCTTTTGCTCCTCTTTTCCTCTAAGCCGTTTGTTTTTTTTCTTATCTTGCAGAGTCTTTGCAAACCCTTTCAACTTCATCTCCCTTCTATACTCCTT